GTGTGTGTGTGTGTAAAACAGGAAGTGACCCAGCTAAAATGTCTGAGTGAATTCTAAAGCGGCATTAACTTGTCGTCCTCGTGCACCTGCTCGGCTTTCTGTGGAGTGAAGCATCACAGAGCAGCTGCTCCGGGAAACCTGAATGAGCAGTGAGCGTTTTACTACTTAAAGTGTCGGAGTTAAACGGTTCTCCTGCTGCGATTTCCAGGTACAGAAATTGCGTCCTCACACAGCGGAGGTGGCCTGTATGGTACACAAAGGGCTCACCTTACAGAGTTTACTTAACTGTGCTGTTGTTTTGGTAGTTCTCAATAATGGATGTTTAAATGTTGGTTAAGTGCAGTGAAAAAAATCTAATGTGACATTTTGCAGATCCTTTAAAAGTCAGAAACAACCTGAGTACTGTAGTTATTCGTGTTTTAAACAAAAATGGGAAGTAATGTCGTGTGAAAGGTTGCGACTGTTTACAGCAACATATTTAGCTCAGGTAACACAAAAAAACCTCACTTACATACTGTATCTAAAACATATCTGCTCCCTGAAAGGAACATTCATAATGTATCATCCCTGGCAAATACTTTAATGTTAACATATCAGATATCAGTTCAGCGCTCAGTCGCCGTTTAATATTCAGATTCTTTGTTAAACCTTCACATGAACATCACCGACAACCGCTGACTCAGTGCATCCTCACAAACTCTCTGCCTGCTGTGCTCTTCTCTTGCAGTGTGAACAAGTGGATGTGAACCTGTGAGGAAAAAACAAAAAGACTCGAAGAAGCAGAGACAAGCTGGATCTCCAGAGGACCGTCCCTGGACCACATGGAGGTTTTCTGGGGGATTTTCTCAGCTTCTTTGAAAGTTGAGGCTCCTCAATAACTATTCCTACTCCTTTTCCACTATTTTTACTTTATTGTTGTCGGGGTTGAAGGTCACAGACCTCTTCCCTCCTCGTCTGCTGTTTTGTTCTAAGCGAGACCAAAACCAGGTGCCAAACTGACTGTGTCAAGAGAAGAAGCAAAAAAAAAAAATCTATGAAACTAACCGTCACCAAATCATCACAAGAAGAGTTCATTCATTCATTTATCTTCGAAAGCCTGATTTGTAACTCGAGCACAGCTTTATTTCTCTCCCCTTCAACCCACAAACGCATTAAGACATCCATTAAAGTCATGTTTAATCTCAGCACATTCATCACAGCATATTGAAGAGATATTTTAGAAAACAGATCAGCCGTAAAAACTTAATATCCGTCGTCTTCGGTCAGTGTTTGCATAGTTGCTGCTCTTAATCCTGAAAACGGAGAGATTTTTCCACACGAGGACGATGATTAGTGCATTATTGGTTCAAAGTGCTTTACAAACAGATCCTCCAGCTGATGGTCGGCTCGTGTGGTGAGCAGTGATAACTCGCCGCCGCGCTCTGACGCCGTCCAAACACTTTAAGGCTTCGGCAGGACGGCGTTTTTGACTGATAAATACCGCCACGCCACCGCCGCTCCTCCTCCTCCTGCTGCTGCTGCTATCTCAAACGCTCGGAGATATAAACCGCCGTCTCAGTCTGCGCTGTGAAACACTGACACTTTGCCTATCTCCTTCTTCCAGTCGCTTGTATGAGAGAGGCCTCTCACCCTTTGTCGTCTTCTGTTTCTTCCACGTTCGGCGCTCGATTACGCCGCACTGAAAAAACCTGAAAGCCCCCTCCTCCACTTTATCTAATCCCAGTGACCTCTTCAACTTTTTTTGCATTCTTCCTTTTATTCTACGAAAAACATGCAATTTAAAACCTTTCACTGTATTTACATTTTTTGTGGAAGGAGTTCAAGTTTGTAAAAATAAAAAAAAACTTAAAAAAGGGAAACAAAAGGACATAACCTTTAAGCCATACTGAACACCAGCCATACAGATACCTTTCACATTTACAGAACACCTCACCATGTTTAAGACTTCGTCAGCAAAGTGATCCTCAAACACATCCGTGCACATACGCGTTCAGGGAGCTACCGAGAAGAACCCCAAGTTTCGTACATTTGGATGAAAGAACAGGTTTGTAACTCGAGAGGTTTTTTTTTCTACCTGTGTCTTTCTGAGTGCGCTAAATCTGCGAGCGGACCAGGTGCGGCGTTAAGCGTGGCAGTGAAGGTGAACCCCCGCAGAGCTCCCCCCGTTGTTCCTCTGTGTTGACGGATGAATCCGGACATTTTCATGTCTGTTCTGTGGGCAGAACCTCGCTGCCCTGCTAGAACCGGGCCCAAGCCCTCCTTCGTTCTCTTCTGTTGGGCCAAGCTAAATTCAGAGCAAAGACACTCACACAAGGGTATCGAACGCACATAGAGCCTCCCGTTTAAAAAATCTAATCTTTTCTTTGTGTAATTTTGTTTCTCACTATTGCTCACTCTTTTGTGAATGCCTTGACATGCTCATCTATTGAACTGATCTCGGTCCTCTGGTAGCTGCTGGAAGGACTTTCCTTGAAGATCTGATGCTGCTCAATGCTTTCATTTAGCAGCCGTTTATCCGTCGAGCTCACCGTCCATTCAGTCACCGTTCTACTATAATTTAAACCAAACGTTTCACGCATATTGACCTTTACTGATTCTCTTCCTCCAAACTGTTTGAGAGGAAGAGCTTGTTTATTGGCAAATTTGTGAGCGTGATGTAAAAGGAATACAAATTTAAGCCACAGCTTGTGCCAAATTCAGAGTGACTTCCTCTCAGCTGGTTCACGAAACAAAGCAGAGATCTCCAAAGCTGCCAGCACTGTTGTTTACAGACACGAGACACACACAGCTTGAATATTTGATTAAGAAAAACGTTATTTTTCCATGTATGATTTTTACACATCAGTTATCCACGGGACAACAGAAGTGCCAAACTCAAACCAGAATACACGCGACATCCGTTCGAGCTCATCCAACGTGAAAGATAAAGTTTACATACAGCGCTAAATGTTTACAGACTGCATTTTCCATCGCAAGTTTCTTACGTGAATCGTAACGTTCGTGCCATAAACGACTCCCAGAGAACTCTTCAGTAGGAGGGGTCATTATATTAAAAGAGTTTACATTTTGTTTACAGGAAATGTAAAAAATAAATAAATAAATATACTGCCTGTTTAGAAGATTTTGAATTTTGGCCAGTGGACTGTAAACCGACAGACCAAATTTAAATATCCGACACCCGCTGCCATAAAACAAACCACATTATTCTATATTTATAAACGGTTGGAGTTTTCATTTAAATTGATTATTTCAGACCAGGCAGTTCGTATAGGGCCTAAAAACTCTGAAAGACCTCAATGTTTACAAAAGCTGCTTAAGGGAAGGATTTGTACACAGAGAGAAATGTTTACATTCAGCTGAAAGAGTGAAATGCCAAACACATTCATGATACATCGCTTGAACAAAGTGAATCTGCTCAACTCCAGGAGAAACCCTGTGCGCACAACAACGAGGGATTAGTGCGTCCGACTGGAGTTAAAACTTTTCATACAAAAGGCTTTTTTTACAAGAGGACGCTGATAAGTCACAGCGCAGTTGGAGCCGTTAACGTGAATTCATTTTTTTTGTTAAACGACGGCTCAAGAACTTTGTGATAAAACAATGAAATCATCAATTTCAAGAGGGATGTTTTGCTCGTCCCTCGCTCTCCTGCTTTGCTCCTGCCTGGCTGTTTCCACGGTAACCATCACCACTGAGCGACGCGCTGTCGATGGCGACGTCAGGACTCTGACCGGCGGCAGTGGCTCCGCTGCAGCTGGTAAAAAGAGCACCACCCTGTTCCTCCTGACCGGCTACAAGCGGCCGCTGCCACCGCTGCCCGCCGGACCCAAAGTGGCGCCGAAAGCAGCCGAGGTGGAGGACGGCGACGATCCACCAGCGGTGGCCGAACTCCCTCCAAAGCCCCTCCCTCAGACCATGCTGCCAAGGAACATGACGTCCGACGCCCTGAAGCCTCCGCTCGGTGCGGCTCAGGTGGCTCCACCTCCCAGACAGCTGGTGGATGTGGACGTGTGCAGGTACGGCCAGAAAAAAACTTTCTTTATCCAATCCAACTTTATTTGTTAAGCACTTTTAAAACAACCAAAGCTGACCAAAGTGCATAAATAATCATAAATAAAAGACATAACGGCTCACATGAGGCGCAAAATTACATATAAAATACAACAATAAAAT